TCAAAACCACTTGCAATCTGATTCATAGCTGAGCGCCTTGCCGCCGGTTACATTATGAACTTCAAAACTAACAATATTGTTGCCATTGATTTGTGTTACAGTGCGTGCCATGTTACACAAGACCAACTTTTACACAACAATGTTGTGCTAAAAACTATTTTGTTTATCACCTTTAGTAGAAACCATATCCTGGGTGCATTCTAGTACATTTTCCAGGCCAGGGCCAGGGTCTTGGGGGGGGGGGGGGTAAGAAATCTTACGTTTCTATACTCTCATAATCGGTGATTAATCTTCCTCATAATTCATTCACAGGCTATTTACTTGAAATGCATGATCAAAGAAGCAGGCATGTCTTTTCAGCCAGTTGAATCAGAACTGGATCTCTCTTACTCTTATAGATACCAGGTTCGTTTATACCTTGAATCTTTGTAAGCCAGTTATCTTAAGTGGACAATTAAGGCAAAACTTAGCAACAAAATTTATGGACAGCTATAAATACATGTACATACTTTAAATTGATAAGTATGATATGGGTGTCGGCAGGGTGTAGTTGAAGTATCGGTAAGTTCTGTAGAGTATCATTAAAATGTGGGTAGGTTGTTGGTAAAATCGTGTAATACAATATATGTAGTTTGATGGTATAAATTTTTGTTTGCAGGATGTTAAGATGCCAGATGCGTATGAAAGATTAATCATAGATGTGTTGGCAGGAAGTCAGGGCAACTTTGTCAGAAGGTTTGTAATATATTTTTTTAGGTAAGAATGCATTGGCCTAGCCCGCATTCCAGAGGATCTATTTTGCTTCTTGTGGTTGTAAAGAGTGAGTGCCGAAGGCAACACCAAATGCCAGAGTAAAAATAAATAACCTCTAGACCCCAGGGTAATATTGGCCTCAGTGTTACTTCAAATAAAGACCCACTAGCATTTTCTGACTTGTCACGATGAATATACCTATAAAACCTCCAGGGTGTAATGTTTTCCAATTTCAGACCACATGTCCTTCTCTTGAGAACAAGATTCTTTGTTTTAGTTGTTTGAACAAAAAAATGAAGCTCTAGGGAATGACTTGTGGTCTGTAATGGGAAAACATTATTGGCCTATTGCCCTAACAAGGTATACTATTTTTAATGCCAAGATAACAAACAATCTTATGTCCTTGCAGTGACGAACTTGCAGAAGCATGGAGAATTTTTACACCTCTTCTTCACCAAATTGAAAGAGAAAAAATAAAACCCATTCCTTACAAGTTTGGAAGGTGAGTTGATGACAAAATTTACCATATTATCACTTCAATCGTGGTGTTGACCAAAATATAACAGTCCTCTTTAATAGGAACACTGTAATAGTTTATCCTGTTGTTGTTGTCTGTATTAGAGAGGTTTGACTATTATACACCTATTTCAAAAAAGGCCCGCGGGGGGGAGGACTCTCTTGAAAAGTGGGTAGGGGGGCTTGACGGACCTCTTAGGGTCGAAAATGAGACCTCGCATGCCTCTTAGGGTCTCTGGCTGACTACCGGCTGACTCCGAATCTTTTAGGGTCAGATTTGTTCAAATTTATGCGTACCTTTTAGGGTCATTTTCAAAACCGTTCGTTGAGCCCCCCTACCCACTTTTCAAGAGTGTCCCCC